AGAGACAGAGGAAGTAGCAGAGGCTTTTTGCAGCACTGCTGACTTAATGGATTAGCATGAAGAGAAACGGTAGGAGGAACGTTTTTTCGCTTTTCTGCCCATTAGAGAAAGTCATACTTTTATTGCCCCGCAGGCTACCAAGCAGGTCTGTACCTGGACTGACAACAGCAGTTCTGCACTCCCTTCTCCTCCACTTAACAACCAAGGTGCTATAAAGGTGAACGCTTTCTCTCAACCACCTGTCATGGTGCTGGTTCTCTGAATAATGGATTAGATGAAACCTTGCCAGGTGTTCACCAACAAATGTGTGGGATTCACGATTTGTAAAGATTAGGTATTGTGCTTCCAAGCAGCTTTCTGGAAACGAGGAACTCTGTCCCCAAAGCCTCCTAAGCTGATTCCTCCTTACATCGCCTGGGCCAAGATGAGCTCAGGAGCCATTTCCCCAGGGGCACGGAACCCACTGGTTTGGAAGAGTCAGCATCCGGGACTGGATGGTCACCAGTGGGGCTCCACCACCAGCACCCTCACGGGGCTTTCTATTCTGTTCTCTAATGCGAGGCTCAACACCAGCCACAGCACGGCAGGGGACATACCTTCTGAGCAAGCCATGGACCCCATGTACTGGACCGGGGAGGGAGAGGTGCCATATTCACTGAGACTCAGTTTCTTTTTGAACAGCGTCTGACATTTATTGAAAATAAGGAAAAGACGTTTGTCCAGGTAGTGTAGAAGAGCTGGGCAGAGTGCAGGGGTCACCGTGTTGAACAAAGGCACACATCAGAGACACAGCTGCAAATTCAGAAGAGAACCGGATTCTGGGCGAAACTAACAGGTCCACAGGAGACAATGAGCGACTCGATTTGGCTGCCAGGCACCCCTGGGACCTGGCGGCCACCTGGCAGGAGCAGAGGATGTCTCTGGGAGTAGGGAGGCAATGGGTCCCGCTGAAGGCGAAGGGCTGGCCGGCCCCTCCAGGCTGGGTGGAGAGCTGCTGGAGTCAGTGTCCAGGGGCTGCGGCCAGCTCAGATACCTCCCGGGTGAGTCCGGACCGCCGAAGGCTGTAGTGTGTCGGCGGGACGCGGTGGACCGGGATGGCAGCGGCAGTGGCAGCGAAGGTCTCTGGGCACCTGGATGCGGGCCTGGCAGTCGGGCAGGGGGCGGGCGGCTGGCAGCGGCCGGGCCGTGGGTGGTCTGCCCCGTGTGTAACGGGAGCCCGGCTTGCAGCTGGAGCGCAGGACCGAGTCCAAGTGTGCATGGGAGGGGCCGGGCTGGCCGGAGAGGGCGGCGGCCGCCTCAGAGCCAGGCCCGGCGGCGGCAGCAGCGGCGGCAGCGGGAACCTGGAGCGCTATTCCTGGAACAAAGGCAAGCACTACGCGGGAGGGGACGCGAGCGCGGGGGAGATCGCGGCGACTCGAAGGTGAGGGAGGGAGGAGGCGCGGCGGGAGGACGCCCGTGGCCATCTGGGCGGCGGCGACTGGCGCAGCGGACCCTCCCCCGAGCACCCGCCCCCAGGCCCGAGGGGCTCCCGGCCTAGAAGTCCTCGTCCTCCACCCAGCCAAAGACCCGCTTCATCTCGGCCAGGAAGCCCCGGTAATCGTTGAGGAGGGGGCTCTGCTTCCTGATGTAGGGGATCACCCACTGCAGGGCCGGCCCGGTGAGGCGGGTGATGAGGAACGTCACCTTCAGGGCATCGTTGGAGAACAGGGTCTCGTCCACTAACATGTAGGCGCCCGTCTGCACGATGAACTCCGGGAGCCGGTCGGTGTCGCCGTCAAACGTCTCGGGGAAGGGAATGGGGTTCCTCCACCGACGCGCCTGGGGCCGGAGGGGCAGGGCCAGGAGGGCCTTGATCAGCTGCACTCGGCCGTCCATCGCTCCTGGCTCGCTTTGCTGGGCTCCGCGGGGCTCGGTGGAGGTCCGCGAGGAGGCGTGGCGGGAAGTGCGTGTGTGCGGAGGCGGGCGCGGGGTTCGTGCGGGCGGGGCCATGGGCGGTACCCGGCGCCGGCGTGGCTCCGCCCACAGGCTGGGCGTTCTCTAGTGCGCAGACGCGACATTGGGGCGGAGCTGGGGTCGTAGGACCGACGCGCAGGGAGGAGGCGTGGCTAATGGCCTGTGAAGGCGTGGTGTCCGAGTAGGAGGGGCGGGGCTGAGTGTTCTCTAGATGTGCCGAGGGTAAGGGGTGGGGACCTGGGGCGGAGCCTTGGAC